TGGAGGGCTCAGCAATAAATGATAAATGGGACATCTGTATCCACCACCTCCACATAAGGCAGGAGGTCCCTACCTTTAGAAACTATCAAAGAGGGTGTGTGTGTGTGTGTGTGTGTGTGTGTGTGGTCAGAGTCTTTTAACATGGCAGGGCTTCCTGCTCTCATAAACTCACAGTGGCTTTGGTTGCCTATGCAAGGCCTGTACAAGATCTTGCCAGTAAACAATCCCCAGTAAACAAGCAGTGGGGGTAGGGGTGAGAGTGGTGTTTTGTGAGCACCCACATCTTGCTGAGAAGCTGCTGGCAGCTGACGGGAGGGAGAGTCGATTTCTTTAAGGCCTCTGGTAAGTCATCCAGGCACCGCTGATGGGCTCTCGTCCCTGAGCCAGCATATGAGTGACACAAATTAGACAACGGGTTGTATGAAGTTGAGAGAGATGGGAGTACTGGGGATTGGATCTGGAAGGAGCTAGGGGGAGGATTGAGGTGTGAATGTGATCAAACTACACTGTGTGCATGTATGAAATTCTCAAAAACTTAATAAAATGTCACACATAGATTTTTAAGAAGGGTGCACAGACCTGGCTGCAGACTGCAAGCTCCCATGTGACTCCTGGGCATTACCATCTTGCCATCCGGGCTGCACAGCCCTTGCTCTGGCATCACTTTCAGAAAAGCAGTGATTCCTGCCAGGTTCCCTTGTCAATAAAAATCTTAGAAATGTGGCACTCCTTCAGTGGCTCACCAGCTTTTATCCAAACACTAAGACTCAGGATGGTTTGGCCCCGAGGGCCTGTGAACTTTATGCAGAGAGCTGATTCCCTGCTTCTGTGTGGGTGACAGTGATGATTATGTAGGTGACAATGAATGAATGACCACCTGGAAGCAGCCAAGGTACTCAGGTGGCCCAGCATGAGACACTGCCTTTTTTCACACCGTTGACTCAGGAGTCTGGCCTCTGAGACGTTATGAGAACTTGAAGTGGACAGTTAGGCTGTCTTGACTCCAAGGAGCCATGGTTTTCACACCCGGATAATGGTCCTGTCAGGAATCCACCCCTGGAAGTTTTGGTGGCTGCTGTGCTCAGACCGGCCACACTGTGGCATTGAAAACAGGAAATGTTAGCCATTGCTGTCACTACTGTTGGTAATGCAGACACTCAGTTCTGAGGGGACAGGGAAGGGAGAACTGTCATTCAGGGGCCATCTGGTTCTCTGATGACAATCATAGCTAATTAATTAAAATGGGGACACTCAGGAGGTGTGCAAATGTCTGAAGAGAACCCTGAGCTAGGGCATAATCTGCCTTTTATCTGCAGACGTGGGAGGGCTGTTGACCACTCATTCGACCATTGAATGTGCTCCATTCCATGCTGGTGAGCTTGGAGACACTCTGTGACTCAGCTCTCCTCTTTACTCTTGGAGCCAGTTGGCCTAGGCTTGCAGGTTCTGCTCTCAGGAATCTCAGAACTCGGAGTTTCACTGTTTGTGATGCCTGCTATTGCAAACTGTGATGCCTGCTAGTGCAAACTGCTTGTGATGTCTGCTAGTGCAAGCTGTTTGTGATACCTGCTAGTGCAAGCTGTTTTGATACCTGCTAGTGCAAGTTGCTTGTGATGCCTGCTAGTGCAAGCTGTTTGTGATACCTGCTAGTGCAAGCTGCTTGTGATGCCTACTAGTGCAAGCTCTGTGCTGGCACTTCTGCTTCCTTCAGTTCCAAGTCAGAACTCTGAAAGCTTTTCGATGCTAACACGATCACATTGGAGCTAAGAGTTGTGTTCTTATGGCTCTGTGCATGACAGAGGAGGCAAACACTACTCTGAAAGCTTTTAACACTTGCACTGGATTATCTCAAAGGCCCAGGAACTGTTCATCCAACTGCAGGGAACTAACCATCACCCCAACCCCCTCTCCGTGAGTGTGGAGGATCACACCTGTAACCCCAACATTCAGGATGTTGCTGCAAGAGGATTTTCTTGAATTTCAGTATCATCTTTGAAAAAAAAGAAAAAGAATGTCCCTATTTAGAATCTCCTGATTTAGTCATAAACAGGTAAGAGGCTTATGTCTCCTTATACCCAGAATATAGCATATAAGAGACAAATGCATTCACTTAATTCGGAATAATCCACAGTGCAATGTGAAAACCACTTTGGAAATAGAAGACACCCATTCAGTCTAGGCAAAGCCTCATGAAGTTCCTGAATTCTTCACACAGAGGACAAACCTGAGCTTTTGACTTTGCAGACAGCATTGTCAACCAAATGTTTTTGAATGTCACATGTTAAACTCCTTGAGATTTTTTCTGAAGATACTGGAAGGGTGCTTCCTCAATTCAGAAAGCTAAGGACAAACAATCCTTTTCTAACTGCAGCTCAGGAAAACAAGCCCTAAAAAGAAATGCAAACGGACAGAGGAACAGCACCACTAGAGTGTAACAGCTCTTTCAAGCGATTGTGGGTGAGTGGAAGCCCGGCTTCCTTTGAATAGTTAATCAGGTGTTTGGATGGGTCCAACCCCCATCACCTCTACCTATAGGAATAATTTGATAACTACCACATGTGCAGTGAACAGCCCTCAGTCTCGAATCTGCAGAGGGACCAAGGCATCACAGTCCTCAGATAACCAGAGAGGCTGCTGTCCCGTCATCCCTAGGTCCTTAAACTTTAAATGGCAATTCATCTCTTCAATTCTTTCACTGCACTTGAATATTTCATGTGTAGAACATATCGGTCTCTTTTGGAGAACTGTATGTTGAAGTCAGGGGATAGGAAATGCAGAGACAGTAAATGGCTGTTTTAAAAAGTCCCAAGTCTTGACCATCATCTAAAATGTACCATCATCTAAAATGTCTCATCGGATGATGCAATGCAGCCTGCAAGGTGGAAGAAACAGGGTCTAATTGCTTATCAGATTGTGGAAGAAAATGCTGGTAACTTTGTTTTCGGTGAGAAATGCTGTCATCCGCAATGACTCTCTGTATCTTTATAAAGAAATAGAACATATATGCCAAGACCTGGACATTGAAGTTGTTGTTGTTTGCAGCATCAAGCTAGAATTGTAAAGACTATTTATCAAGACACTTCTTCATTCAAAATCGTTATTTCCCTGATTCTCAGAGTGCAGCCTGGAGCCTTAAATATCCCCCAAGTTCATAGTGCCACAGACTTGAGGCTGTGGGGTGAATTACATCCCTCGTCCCTGACCCTCCAAGTCATCTTCCCTGAGAAGAAGTGATTGAGGAGCAAATGACCATGGCATTCCACTGCATTCATGTAATCCCCATTGGAAAATAGAGCTAGCCCCCTCGCCCAGTCGCATGCACAGTGTATTCCAGCCAGTGTCTCATGGTGGGATGAAGGAAACTGGCTGTCAAAGCATTGGCCTTCCTGGCTCCGTTGTAGCTCCTGCTCTGGAGCCCTCATGCCCCGTCTAATCCTATGGGGAATGTGACTCCTGGAAAAGGTGGACTGGCAGGATGGCTTAGGATGCAGGGACTTTCTTGATGGCATTGGGATGCCTTGCCTTGCCTTTTCTTCTTCTTTTTTAAATCCCAGGCGTTCAGCCTCGAGAGAAATGGGCAGAACAAGCTCCATTTGATTAGTGTGTTTGGCGCACGCCTTTAATCTCAGCACTCCGGAGGCAGAGGCAGGGGGGGGGCGGGGGGGGGCGGGATGTGTCTTTTAAAGAAAATGGGAATTCTCTGGAAATACTGAAGACATGCACGCCAGAAAGAAATGCGACTTGACAAAACCATGTTAGGAAATGCCCACCATAGATTTGAATGTGGCCAAGAACAGAGAACATGCGGAAACAAACCCATCATGCCCTTCCCTGCAGCTGGGTGGGAGATGTATCTCAGAAAATCCATTTATGTCCTGAAAGTTTTGGGGTTTTACCTCTGTAAAGTGGCCCCATGATGCAATTGGTGAGGAGGCTCAGGTGACCTGCTTAGCATTCCTTTCTGTGTTTGGTAGAATCTTTAGCTTCCAACCCATGTTGCAGGGGGTGGGGGGGTATTGGGGGGGCGACACAAGTTAACAACCAGAAGAAATAAGGTCTGAACAGACTGAAGCCCAGCATTTACTCCAGAGATGTTCCTTGAAGGCACAAGTACCAGGCTGAGAAGGGGGGCAGCCAGGGCAGCTTTCCCTGAAGGAAGTCTGGCCTGATCTAACACTAGTACAGACTGGAACCACACTTCTAGAGAGTCTTCCTAGAGAACTTTTCACCTCCACAAAGGGGGATGCTGGAAGGAGGGAGCAGGGGAGGGGCTTAACAGCAGGCAGCTGGTCTGGTCTGAATAGAGTCCACCCGAGAGGTTTGAAGAAGAAATGTGTGTGTGCGCACGTGTGTGCGTGTGTGTGTGTGTGTGTGTGTGTGTGTGTGTGTGTGTGTGGACATATGTATATAGATATGCCTTTATGGGTTTAAGCGTGTATATGTGTGCCTGTGTGTGATGTGCTGAGCTGGAATCCTTGGTCCTTAGGCTTCAGGAAAAGTTCATACCTTCATGATAATCACGCTGACCAGAGAGCCATTAAACAGACAGTGGACAGGTGGACAAATGGAGAAGGGGGGAGAGTATGGGAAACCCAGGAGGGTGGAAAATGGAAAATGGGAAAGGGGTTTGTGGGAAAGGAAGGACCATCAGAGGGGAAAAAGGGAGAGTGAAGTGTAGCCTGAGGGGAAGAAGTAGAGAGAAGAAGGGAGGATATTGGAGCTAGACTGAGCAGAAAGCAGAAAGCAAGAGATCCGGCAAGCCAGAGAGCCCAGCTGTTCTAGTAGGGTCAGAGCTGGAGACCAGGGGCTGGAATGCAGAAACGGACGGGAAGAAATCCCGTAGGGAAAAGAAGCGGAGGCGGTTGGGACCAAGCGTCCCTAGGCAGGTTTGTTCAGAATGAGTTGGGTTAGCTCTCACTTGCCCCTAGAGGGGTCAGACATCGCTTTTCATCTCGGCCTAGCCTCGAACCCCCACCCACCCCAAGGCTCCGCAGTCTTACCTGGCCCTTGACTAGGCTGGCAGCGAACTGGCGCATGACGGCCTCCACGGTGTAGGCGCTGGACCAGCCGCGCGGAGTGAGCAGCTCCATGCAGATGGCGCCGCCGTCCAGCACGTAGCCGTTCTCCAGCCGCGGGCTGAGCACCCGCATGAAGGGCGGCGAGAAGGGGAAGTTATCCGGGAAGGTGAGGTTGAGCAGGATGAACTCCGTGTTGGTCTCCTTCATGTCCTGCCACAGCACCGAGTCCTTGTCCACCTGGTGCAGCTTCACGTTCCAATCGAAGAGGCTCTCGTTCACCAGCTCCACCGAGATGAA